CATGACATGACATATCATATCCATCTTACTAACCTTATGTAGGAAATTTCACCCATAAGAAAAATTACTAAGGTGGTTGAAATAATTTGGGGAAATTTGGGCTTATGTACTGCCCCGCCAGACGACAGAGAAAGGTTGGAGGAGAAGTGGATGGCACCGATGGATGAGACCATGGCAGAAGCAAGGAGGAGAGAGGCTAGAAGGATCCTTATTTTCTTTCTTCTCCGTGGACGGTCATCTTCTCCGTGGGCGGTCATCTTCTCCGAGAAGAAGACAACCACTGCACCTGCAATCTACAAACTGCACAGACCTTATGCTCGAGTACGAGGGGTCCCGAAAAATTTCTAGCAGCGATTTAGGACTACTGACGGATCCTGGGACCTCCCAGGTCCCTATGTGGATCCGTACTTGATCACAGCTGGTATAAACTGATGAATTTTCCCTCGCATGCACGAACAATATGTACTCGAACCTCCTCTATTTTGTGTCCCTAGTGACGAGCCGCGATAGGGACGCGTAAGAGGGGCGCACGTACGTTACAACTGAGGGGCCCCACAATTCTTTCTAAAACACCGATGAGGGTCGCAACCCCATGCCTCTTCCCGCGTTGGCCCAGCTCTCCCGCAAACGCATCCGCCCTTCTTCCATTTGTACAGTCAAGCCGGGGCCCGCCGGTTGCGCTAAGGACGCCACCACGTGTCCGTCCGATTTCGCTGGTTTAGCACCGCTCAGCACGTCACGTCTGCGTTGCCTTCGTCGCTGATGTCGTGGACGAGCCCAGAGTGGGCCTAGTGGGTCCCGACCCGAGTCATCTCAATACTTGGCTTAAGTCCTTGTGGGTGGGTCTTTGACTCGCTGTTCATCCATCATTGCTGGTACTTGGTGTAGCACAGCTTAGCTGGATCTTGCTGTAAATTTTGGGATTAAAATATTGCAGTATCCAACGAAAAAAAAGGGTAAAAGTAAAACCCTCAAGGAATCTGTAAAAAAAAATTTATTGGATAATCGGAGTGAGGACATGCATGGATGCATGCTTTGTTTTTTACTTTTTGTTAACAATCAACTTAAAAGTGGTAAAAAGAGAGCAACAAAATGGTGTGAATGATGATGGGAAGGACATGCCCACAAGTGATTTTGACAGTGATTAGATGCAAGTGATGTTAATGTAGCAACAAGAGAACATGTGAGAGAATGGGTAAGTGAGATGCAAGCCTTTTAGTCAAGGGCAAACAAAAATTGGACAATGATTGTTAAACAACCCAAGAATGTGCAACAATGGCACCCAAAACATGTGAAAGGAAGTTGGGTGAAAAACCAAAAAGAGAAATAACAGTCGTGGACACGCGTAAGTGATTATGATCTATTGATGCATGATGAGAGTTGTTTAGGTTTTCTTGTACTTGTGGGTTTAGAGAGCTTACATGGACCAGGACGTCATAATATAGTAGTGAATATGTTTCATATAAGTTATTCTCGTGGATTTAGATATTTTTATGTAATTGCTTTAATTAACCTTGTATCTTGTTTCTTTATGATAGAATTATGAAATTCTTGAAATTTATCTTGAAGCTTTTATTTTCAATAAAACTTGTACACACATCTTTTTCTTTAAATCATAAGCATCTACTAAAATGATGTACCATGAAACAATGACAGCCAAAACATATACAAGAATGTACGTTGAAAAACCAAAAACAAGAGAATGCTACAATTCTATGGGCGCAAGCGATGATGAGTCGGTCATGTCTCGTGGACTTACTCGCAAACATGAACGACTAACGATATAGCATACAGTTCAAATATAAATTACGTCGTTTCTTCCATGTAGGTTTTCACATCCAAAAGCAAAAAAGCAATTAAGATGAAAACTTTGTCAAGAGATCACAGGTATATATTCTCACAAGGCGCATGCAGAACAAGACTGAGGCTACTATCATATCATGTGGTAGTGTTGGTTTGAAAAGTAAGTTTGGAGAGGATGTGTGCTTTTGCTTGATTGGGACTTGGGGAGATGACACTCATGATTTAAGTGGCATTTGCCAAAGGAGATGGGGGAAAGTTAGCAAAAGTAGCTTTGGACTTTTTCTCCAACTTCCACGGTATGCCACGAGGCAATTCAACAGTAGCAGCAGCTCCAATCACCTGTAACCTACCCAAGGGAGCCACAAGCATCGCAATTTTGCATTGCATTTGCATTTCGATATAGTTTAATGGACGAGCGTGAAATCAAGCTCGGGTTTACACACAAATATTATTCCATTTTTTTGCGTTAAAAGCAAACCCTAAATTACTAAACCCATCAAAAGCTAGAACAAGAAACGATAAATAGTAATTATAAAATTAATCAGTAACTTTATGGATTTAAATCTCTGCTGGGAAAGCCTAGAAAACCCAGAGCTTAAAGCATAAAGGGCAACCACACTCGCAGACGCAGAGGTTTCATTTGCTGGTTTTTCTTGGGCCTGGAGAGGAGAGTGAGTTTTAAGGTCACAAATTTACAGAGTTTTTCTTTTCCTGTGACGGTGAGAGATGAAAAGCAAAGGGAGCTTGGCGTTTGTTCATCGTAATAGAGAAAATGCTAGACTAACAGGGAATATACGGTTTCAGAATATGCTTAGTTGCTTTAGCATGGCTGTCACAGCTTTTCTTGCATAAGGAATCGGAAAGCAATACTTTTTTATATTTAATTATAGTTTACAGGATTAATATATTGGTTTAGTTTGCTGATTCAGTTCCGCTGTCTTGGATTCTATGGTATAAATTGTGATTACTTGGTAAAACTTCAAGTTTCTATTCGAGATCTTAGATTCGATTTTTTTCTACGATCTAGCTGATAAAAGAAGAAAAACTGTCACTATTAATTTGAGTTAATGTCTATGCGGAATAAAGTTAATGTTCCACCTCAAAACCAATGCGGAATAAAGTTGGGATATGCAAAAGTCCCTTGAGTTTTCAATGTGGGGCAAAATTCTGCATCTTTACAAGCACCTTTACATATGAAGATACTCAAACAAAACACGTATACATCACATGTCAAATAAACATGTGTGATCGTTATACTTTTACGCATAAGCCAAATATGTTTGATTTACAAATGATAATACAATTAACACATAAATCTATCATCAAACATACCATATTCAGAGCAATGAAGATTAAGAAATTAAGAAACGAATAAAGTAACTAGGTTTTAAAAGAAAACATGCAAACACACCACACCACACCACACCACACCACCAAAACTGAAAAGCAATGCATCTGCAAGTGCAGGGAGGATGAGTCATGACTAGGAAATGAGAGAGCAAACAATATAGGCCAAGTAAGCCTTATCCTGATGAATGGCCCCCCAAAGGACACGTGTCGAGAGGGGGAAACGGGTTGAGAATGTGGTAACTGGTGGGAAAGTAAAAGCTGGACACAGACAGCAACAGCGCAACGCAGCAGAGAATTACACCGGTTAACTCAACGGAGGTAAAAAAATTAATAACTCAACGGGAGCAGCTTTTGGGAAAAGAAACAAAAGCTCATTGAACGGACTTCCGCAGCCCCTTGTCTGTTCCGTTCTGTCCTGCATCACGGGGAATCATGTTTGCCTTTGGACTAATGGATTTGTACCTAATTTTCTTTTGTTTTTCTTTCTTTTTTGCTCTCTTGTCCTTAAAATTGAAAATTTTCTCCACAGAGTTGTTCAATCACATCATTTCTTGAGTATATTTTCATAATGTATAGAATTTCATGTAATTTACCATAATCTGACTCCATTGCGTAAAGTTAGTGTAAAAATTGACCTACTTGACTTGCTAATCGAAATTTTTTCATAAATTAAAATTATTTTTTTGAGTTGGTATTATAAAATTTGCAAGTTTATTGTATGACCACTATTGGTGAATTGAAAGTGGGAAACCTAAACCACCCCAACAATGTATGGAAGTGGTTGTTTACTTTGGCAACATGGTTTCCAAGTTTTGAACAAACGAATATTATGTTGGTGTAAAACATTAATCGATCAAAATAGCAAACATTATCCTCTACATCGTCATGAAAATGGTTTTTTCGTTTTTGTACTTATATATGTAAGGTTGTCTTAGGTGTCTCGATGCTTATTCATGATGCACTTTTCGATAATTTATCTAGTCAAACGTGTGTTTTATATTTTTAACGTTGTAGTTATTTTCATAATCTTAAAACTTTCCCGTATAGTCAACATTTTTGAAAAAACAAGAAGTTTGTCTATATTTTAACTTTTGTTTCCTTTTCTAATAATAGAGTGCTAGTGACCCAAATTGAATCTCCTACAAGTAAATGAAACACAAAATAAAATAAAAGGTAAATCAAATTTGGACGACTTTATTATTTTTCTAACCTTAATATTTTTCTTTAACTAGGTATCATTGGCTGCATGATTAAATTAGTAAAGGAGTAGGATTCTATTCCTTTCAAATTTCTTTCCTCTCTAGTATTTTTCTATTTGAACGATCACGATTAAACCATGTTAACATTTATGGTGACTTCTTTATAAAAATAAAAACAAAAGAAAAAGTAAGAAAGCATGGAAGAAAAGGAAAATGATTTGGAAGGAAGAGTATCTAACTCCGTTAAATTCAAATACAATTTATTTTCAGTATTTTTACGTCAACATGTTCAAAATTTAAAAATAAAAATTTGGACAAAATAAATTAAATTTTAGATAAACTGATTTGACTTCGATTCAAACATTGGATAATTTGAAAGGCCAAACCACAGGAAACAGATAAAACAGGAAGGTAAATAGCAGAGTTGAAAAGGAAAAGATTATACAAAATTACAAATGGTAAGCAGTAAATTAAGGAAGGAACTTGTTAGTTAATCAAGTTAATTTTTTTATATTTTTTATTTGTATATGAGCTGGATCCACTCTTCCAGGAGTGACCCACCTCTGAATAAAATATTCAATTATTAAAAAAAGGTAACAAATAAATAATTAAATTCATAAAATAAACCCAAAACACAGACAATTAGAGCTTGGAAGCAGAGACAGACAAGTCCAGCTCTTTCAACTTCAATCCGAAGAATATATATACACACACACACACACATACATACATACATACATACATAATAAAAAATTTCTCAGCTGAAAATATAATCTTTTTCAATTCTGTTGCTTTTGCTCAACTGGGTTCTTTGAGTTTTGAATTGGGTATGAATCAAAACCGGAGCTTAAGCATGTAATTCGGGTTATCTGGTAGGGGATTTTTATATATAATTATATATAGATAGAGAGATATCTTGCAGTTTATTCGGTTTCCGAGATTTAGGTTTTTTGAAGCTATGCATCTGAGCAACGGCATGGGCTCGATGTCAACGGCTAGTTCGAGTGGAGCTTGGAAATCGGGGGATGTGGTCACTGACCAGTTTCCTGCGGGACTAAGAGTCCTTGTGGTCGACGATGATCCTACTTGCCTTATGATCTTGGAGAGGATGCTCAGAACTTGCCTCTATGAAGGTACTCTTTTCTGAGTATCTCTCTCTCTCCTCTCTCTCCCTCTCTCTCTCTAGAGACTTTGCTTCATGGGTTTTCTTCAATCCTTCTGTAGATGTCAATTACCTGTCTCCCAACATGGATTTATCTTTCTTGTGGGTGATTTACTGCAAGTTTTACCACTTGGGTTATAATCACTTGTGTTTTTCATGCTGTTGTTTAAGGGATTTGGAGCTTGTGGTAGAAGTTAAGATTTGGATAATTTGATATCTTTTACTGCTTAAGTTGTGATTTTGTTTGGATTTGAATCATGGGTTGTGTTAAATTTCGTTACTTGCTCTACATGGTTTGATTTAATTTTTTGTTTCTAAAAAGGTTAATCGTCTTGTTCCAGAAGTAAGATTTGAGTTTTGGTTTGTGTCTTTGTAGATTCATAGCCCTGTTTTATTAATTTTGTTCTATAGTTTGTTTATTTATTAAATTTGTGGATTGATTGAGTTGGTTTGTTTGGGATTTTTTAGTGACAAAATGTAATCGTGCGGAGATCGCACTTTCGTTGCTTCGAGAGAACAAGAACGGATTCGATATTGTTATCAGTGATGTGCACATGCCAGACATGGATGGATTCAAACTCCTAGAGCAAGTTGGACTGGAGATGGACCTGCCTGTTATCAGTGAGTTCCTCGTTTGAGTAATTTTGTGTAGATTTAACTGTTGTTAACCGGAATCGTATGTGTTAATTTGGAGCTGACACCTGATATGTGTAATTCCACAGTGATGTCTGCTGATGATGGACAAAGTGTTGTTATGAAGGGTGTGACTCATGGTGCTTGTGATTACCTAATCAAACCGGTTCGCATTGAGGCGCTGAAGAACATATGGCAGCATGTAGTGCGGAAGAAAAAGAATGAATGGAAGGATGTGGAGCAATCTGGAAGTGTGGAAGAAGGAGATCGGCAGCAGAAACCATCCGAAGATGCAGATTACTCGTCCTCGGCAAATGAAGGGACTTGGAAGAACTCAAAGAGGAGGAAGGATGAGGAAGAAGAGACGGATGAGAGGGATGATTCATCCACATTAAAGAAGCCGCGGGTCGTTTGGTCAGTTGAACTTCATCAACAGTTTGTGGGCGCTGTCAATCAACTAGGCATTGATAGTATGTCTTCTTCCCTATACTCTTCAATTTTATACTTCCTGATTGACTGTAGCCTAATATGTATAAGTGCTTTTGATCCTTTGAGTTTTGCACCTGTTTCTTCAACTAGGAGCTCTGTCAGTTTGAATTTACGTACACACTCCTCACGCGAACGGAATGGGCATGCATGACTCATAATTAGGAGCTCAAGTCTCATTTTGTATTGCAAATTATTTTTAATAAAAATTCAAACTTGATTATTTGATACAGAGGCTGTTCCTAAGAAAATTTTGGAGTTGATGAATGTTCCTGGGCTTACTAGAGAAAATGTTGCCAGCCATCTTCAGGTATGGTAATTATGCATATTATAATAATTTACGAGGAGGAATTCTCTTACAATATGAATTTGAGAAAAGTTCTGTTCTTATGTGACATGGTTAAAATATGTTTTTTGTTTGAGATTAACTCATCCTGCCAATTTATGAAGCAGAAATACAGACTGTACCTTAGAAGGTTAAGTGGGGTGTCTCAGCACCAGAATAATTTGAGCAACTCTTTCATGAGTCCTCAAGAAGCATCGTTCGGAGCAATGTCATCGCTCAGTGGGCTGGATCTTCAGACGCTAGCTGTCACAGGTCAACTCCCTGCTCAAAGCCTTGCCACACTCCAAGCAGCCGGACTTGGGAGGTCAACGACAAAATCAGGCGTACCTATGCCTCTTGTTGATCAAAGGAACTTATTCAGCTTTGAAAATCCAAAGTTGAGGTTTGCGGAGGGGCAACATCATCTGAGCAGTAGCAAACCGATGAACTTACTTCATGGGATTCCAACAACTATGGAGGCAAAACAGCTTGCCAACTTGCACCAGTCTGCACAATCTCTTGGGGCTGTCAATATGCAAGTCAATGCTCATGGAGTCCAGAACAGTTCTCTACTTATGCCGGTAGCTCAATCGCAGCCAAGAGGGCAGATCTTGAACGAAACTTCTGGAAATCATGTTCCACGGCTCTCATCATCAATGGGGCATCCCATCATGTCTAATGGTATGAGTAGTGGAGTTTCGGGAAGAAATGGAATTGTTGATAGCGGCAGAGGCGGAGGATATAATCCAATGCAACAAAACTCGTCAATGGTGAATTATCCCCTGAACAACAGTTCACAACTACCATGCAACAGTTTTACTCTTGGAAGTACACCAGTAATGTCCAGCCTCACGTCTAAAGGAGCATTTCCAGAAGATGTAAATTCTGATGTAAAAATATCTTCTGGATTTATGCCAAGTTATGATATGTTTAACGAGTTACAGCAGCTCAAATCAAATGATTGGGACTTGCAGAATGTGGGATTGACTTTTGACCCCTCTCAACATACAAACTCCATGCACAATAGCCTTGAGCCGTCAGTTATAGTTCATCAAGGATTTTCTTCTAGCCAAAGAGGTGGACAAAGCGGGAGTGTTGGAAAAGCTCTGTTCTCAATGGACGAAGGCAGTCATCTTGGGAATGTGCAAAATACCAGTCAACGTCTTAACGGTCTTGTTGTTGACAATACAGTTAGGATTAAAGCTGAAAGTGCGGCCGATGCAACTTCTCAAACTAGCTTCTTTCATGAACAATATGGTCAGGATGATCTAATGAGCGCACTTCTCAAACAGGTCAGTTTTTTGCCTTCATTCCATTTTACGGTATTTGAATTTTTAGATACGTGTTTCGAGCTATCAAGGGCATTATTTACTCATGAAATTTCTTTTGTTTTTCAGCAGCAAGATGGACTTGGACCCGCTGAAAATGAGTTTGACTTTGATGGGTATTCCTTGGATAATATTCCTGTGTAGAATGCGCTCCTACAGTATTTTGTATGATTGCAGATCTGGTGTATATAATTGCGGCAATGGAAGTCATTTCTTCTGCAATCAGATGGTGGACATTCAAGTTTGTTTCTACACCAGAGAAAACCAGAGTGCGTAATTTCACAAATCATATCTTTCGTTGTGAATATCATGATGTGCTGTTTTTAGGAGATAAAAGATGAGGATGATGGATAACCGAGGTGGATCGAATATGTCTAAAGATATTTGTTGTGCACAATACTGCTGCATGGTAGGCAAAGCATGCATGCAAAATTTAGAGGGGCTAGAAAGAAGCATCGTTTTCTGGGGTGCCGGTGAAACTTGTCCTCGGTTTTAGGCTCATCTTGAGTATTCTAGGGTAGGTTTTGATACTTCTTCTAACTCTAATAACACATGAAGCTTGCCGTTAGTGAATTTCTTTTGCCCCTTCCTCCGTTGCCTTTCCTTCTCGTTCCAGGAATTGAGTTTGATGTACATATATTCTATTTGGTTACTCAAGACATAAGTCTGGGGTATTCTTTTCTGGTTGTTTTTCTTGTACTTAAAATTTCTAGGAATTCTTGTATGTCCCCTATTCTTAATAATCTTCTCCTATCTTAGTACATGGTTTTTCTTATTTATTTATTTTTCAAGTAGGGAGAGACACTCCGTTGTGTTTGTTTGACTAGTGCAAGCTCTCACACCGTGCGGAGTCAGTGTAGAGTCAGGTGAGATTGAAATACATGAAGTTGTGTGCTTTTGCGAGAGGTGCTGACGAGGTGGTCCTAAGTTCTATGCTAAAGTTACAAATGAGTAATGCTAGTGGCGATGTTTCACTATTTTTAGGCACTAATTGGAAAAGGTGTATTGGCTTTGTGCCGGAGGGAGAGTAAATGGGCAAACGGGAACAATGCAACATGAAGTGGTCGGATAAGATAATAAGAAGTGGTCCACGTTAATTAAGCATGAGCTTTGGAATCATTCCAACCGCCACCAAAAAGAAGCGAAAAAGAAAAATGGAAGAGCCTGCAGAATAGAATAGAATATTGACAAGGAATAATTTCGGTTGAACAAGCCGCAAAATTCGTTTCACTTTATCATGTGAACTCTTCTCCCTAAAATTTAAAAGTTACAATTAGAAACTTATGTGGGACCCATCACTTAATAAGTCTATCACCGGCCAATGAATTTGATTATAAACCTTCACTATGCGTTAACATTCAATAATAAAAATTTAAAATCGAGTTTTAAGGATAAAATGACAAATTTAACATAAAATATTATAAATCTCCATTATGCGTCAACATCCCACATAACGAAATTAACAAAATTAAAGCAATGTGAAACAAATTTTGAGTTTTATAGAAATGACGATTTTTGAGTTTTAAGGAGCAAAATGAGATCCAAAGTCAAGTTCCAAGGGGCAAAGTTGAGCGAATTTTGAGTTTCAGAGAGTAAAGTAGCGATTTTTGAGTTACAGGAGATAAAAGTGAAATTAAAATCGAGCCATAGGGAGTGCAACAAAAATAAAGCCTTAGTGCAATTACCACTTGAACTTAAAAATAGGATAGGCCTATTCACACGTTCATTTTCACCTCTTACACCCTTGTTAATTTTTTGTCATTGATTTTCTTCAATTCATTCGATTCATCGACCAAAAATTAAAAAGAGTGTGTGAGAAGTAAAAATGTACATGGATAACACTAGGGAGAAAAAGGCGGCATAAGCACTAGTCTTGGAAACATTAGGGTGAGTCTAGAACGAGATTCTAATGGACACTGCTATCGCTTCCACAACCAACAAAGTGTACACAAATAACAAAAAAGAATCAAGAACAAGCATCTAGTTCAATATATATCGTTTATACAAAATATGAGAACATTAGCTACATATAGTTTTGCTGTTACTTTGCGGTGTGTCGATCCTCCCTTCGGTATTTGCAGATGAAAAGCAAAAGAATACCAGCCACAACCAAAATCCGCCTAAAAACCTCTTTTAAGTACCGGCAATGGCATGCACGCCTTCTGGTAGTTGGGATTTCGCAAAACCTCCCCGTTGAGCATGCATCAATCAAAACCACTGAAAGAATATAAACATCAGCAGTAGCTACAAGATCTAGCATTGCCTCATCCCTCAGCTACTGCTGCATCACCATAAACGCTACAACCATTACGAGAACTGAGAAAATTAGAGATGTGCGTTTTCTGTAACCACTGCTAGGATATGCTGTAGGAAGAGCGCACTCCTCCCCGTTAAAGTATACTTTCGTCGGAAACCCATCTCCACCAACCAAATTGATTCCGGGAGTAATCTTCTTTGTAAATGAGAGCACTGACTGCTGTTTCCCAGGCACCCTAGGATCCTTCTTTGGGTTGGCTCCATCTGTTTCCGCCACAAGATAGTTCAATCCTTTGAAGCCTTGCATGAATACGGTATTATTGACACCATTAATTTCCAAGTGACTTGCGTTGAAAGAGTACGCCTTTTCGAAACCAGGGCCTGCTTTATCCAGTTGTACTGCAGCGAACCAATCAACAAAAGCCGTTTCATCCCAATTGAAGACTGTGACCCTTGCACTCCATCCACGAGAGTAGTCTGTATATAAATGCCAGTTGATGCTGATCCCACAGTTATCACCACAAGGTGTCGGGTTTGGGACTGGAAGGTGTTTAATATCAGCCCAAGATTTTGCCTTGACAGTTCGGTTGTCAAAGGGAACAAGAAGTGACTCTGGTGGGAGAAGCATAGCTGGTGCAGTTGTGCTACAAGTTCGAACTGTATTACTAGGGCAGCCACAAGCGCAAGTGTTGCATGGGACGACAGACTCATTGTAGAAAGCAGAAAATGAAACACAGCAACTAGGGATTGCTCCTCTGGGTTGGGTAATATTGCACACAACCTGCCAGCTGGCTACTGCAGATATATTCACTGGCAAGCCAGATCGGTCAGGGAACTGACTGGGACTCACCCGGACAGGAGGGCCACATTTATAATCAGGGTTGAGCGTGCCTTTGATTCCCCAGTTTTGCGGCGGTGAGAGCTGGGACCGGTTGAGATTTGGAGGCATTTTAAAAACTTGCATCTGGAATGATGAAACTGACTTGCTTGCATCCATTGTTGGTGGCAAGATAGTACCATTTCGGCAACAATAAGGGACCAGACCAAGAAGTGTGTCATTGGCTTTTGTTGGAGGAAGGTCAATAATTGTTGGCCGTCTTTCACAATTCAATACAGTTGAGAAGTCTAGATTCTCGTAGAATGTACCTTGTTTACCGAATATACAATCAGAAGAATCAACAACAGATGGATAAGCCCCCTTCGTTGAAAATATGAACTCATCTTCCATCCAGTCCCAGCTCAGTTTCCAATTATCAAGACGACCAAGGGAGTTATGGTTGGCGATTGTCACTTGCGCCGTGTAATCTGTTGCCCGAGTACTGATCACATCATACATCATTGTAAGATCTCCCTTTTGACGGGGGAGGAACTCATCGTCCACAGTGATGTTCGTTTTAAAATTTGCGTCTACGGTGCAACAGACTTGCATTTCATGGGTCCCTGTAATGAACATTATCAGAGCAGTGTATGAGCATGCTCATAAACATGGACAGTCAAAGTCGAAAATGAAAACCCAACTTAGCGTATGAAGTAAAACAAAAGACATACCCTAACGATATAGCATTTTTTCTCTGTAGATCAAAACGAACAAATTTATCTTGCAGATATAGAGAGCGTTGTCTTCTGAAAACGAAAAACTAATGTTTTGTGGTTCAAGACATTCTCTGTCGACTATCAAACTTTCCTAGTGACTGAAGGTAAGTCAGCAGCTTTGAGGCAGTTTGCATAACAGATGCATATCCTAAAGAGACCCATACCGAAATAAAATGTTCAATAAATCACTAAACAAAATCCAAATACCCAAGCATTGTCTCATCAAATTCAACTCATTTAATACAGGTAATTGCAATAAACATTCAAAAGAGCTATCAAAAGTATTCAATTCACAACAGCTAAATCTAATCTGCATACTCCAAATCAAAGTCCATCAAAAACCATCAACCAAAAATGTACCGAAAGAACACAAAAATGAAGTTTACGGGCTCACCTTGCATTGCAGCCGCTGGGCAGACGAACCCATCATTGGCCAGAGTAATATTGGAAGGCATGGGAACTTTGGGTGGGGCCACACCGAACTGGGTCCCGATCAATTTGACCTGAACCTGCATCTGGGCCAAGTCCCCCGCCGTCTTAACCGCCGTCTTCAGATCGGTCATCGGATACCCAGCAAAAACGGTGCCGTTTCCGACACCCCCAGGGATACTAGTACCGTCGGCCAAAACAGCATTGGAGGCAGAGACCAAGTACTCGTTGTTGGTAAACCCCACAAACACCCTCCACGACTTGAGATCGTCGAGCCCGTTGTTGAGCACTGTGAGAACCGACTCGAACTTGTAAGGCTGCTGTTTCGGGTCTTTGACCTCGGGCGGGAGCTGGGGTCCGGCAGTATAGGCGTAGGACAGGAAGACGCCGTTGCACGAGTCGGAGGCCGGCGCCGGAGCTGCGGCGGTTGGCTGGGCGAGTGAGAAGGGCATGATCGTGAGGATAATGAGAAGATTGAGGGCCATGATCGGAGGCCAGTTCCTGGAGCCCGAGTCCATGGCTTTTGGTTTTCTTGGGGTTCCCCAAAGTTTGGATTTTTGAATTTGGAGAAACAGATAGGGTTTATATATGTGCGACTGTTTCTGTGTGCGCTTTTTTTCAAACGCGTAGAGAGAGAGAGAGAGAGAGAGAGAGTAACGTTGGATTGTAAATTATGTAATACTAATACTGCATAGTGGAAACTGTAATTTGACAATATTTTTTTGTTTAAGTTTTTAAAATATATGTTTTATGTATTTGTTGCCGTCTTTGAATGATTCAATTCCAAAAGTCTTTGAATGTTTGAAGGCAAATGGCAAGAAAGTGCGTGTGTAGAAAATACTAGTGCTAAGACTGCTGCTTGTGTTTGTTTTGAGCGTGAAAAGGTCCCTTTGTCTTTGTCTCAACGGAACCCTTCCCCTCTCTTCTTATTTGATTTTGAATCTGTGTTCGTTAATCGGTTGAGGGACCTGATCGTTTCGGATAGAAATGTTCTCTTGTCAAACTTGAGTTAATAGACAATTAAATTATGTATTTATCAGTCGTACGTTTAGGACAATGGTTACAAGTAGAACGCTCAAACAAAAGTCAATGCGATCAAATTCTCGATCCACTGTCTGTCAATATAAGCATATTATGTTGTCTGATAATTTGTAAGAGAATGATAACGCTTTGAAAGAATTCTGTTTCATGTAAATAATTGGGTAACCAGCAAAGTCAATGCATGTCAATATGTTGCGGGCACGTCCTTTTGTCTGAAGCTCATGGCTACCAAAACGTGGCTCACTCGTTTGCATTTGGACCTATATGTTATGTTAATGGACTCGGCCTGGTTTTCCACAATCTGACCATTGCGGCCCTTCACATGGACCCAATTTTGAAAGGCCTCTACATGCAGATTATTTTGAGGGGTACAATTTGGGTTGGATCAAAATCTTAATCTGTTTATGTTTAGTTTGATTTTAAACCCGTTTCAGGCCGGTTAG